AAGGGACAAGAGATTCTAGTGGGCCAGCCTGGAAGTGGCCCACATTGATCCGTTCACTCACTTTACTTCCATAGGACTGTTACATGGACACGTTGAGCTGATAGGGAGGCAGAGAAAGAGACTAGCTGTGGGCTCAGAAAAGAGATAGAAATATGGCTTCCAGTGGGCATCCATCAGTGTGAGAACAGCGTATGTAGTGCAGTGGGGACCCAGGAGAGAACGGCTGTCTTTTGGTGTGCATGGGATGTGTGTGATTGGTGTAGAGATTCATGGAGGTGAGACCCTTTGCATTTGTTCTTAGTTCATTAGAAACTTTAACTTTCCTTGGGGATTTGGACTAAGACATCTTCAAAGTTTCTTTCAGAGAAATTAAAAGTGTCACATGAAGAATGGTTGAAGAAACTGATCTAAGCTGAAAGGGAAAAAAGGGAGAGAACAGGAGGTGAGGAGTGTGTCAGCATGGTCACACTCCTTGCCTGAATGAAAGGCTTTGAGTGGATGGTGAGTGGGCTGCTTCTGTAGGGTATCAGGAGGTCCAATCAGGACCAAGTATCCGAAGACAAATTTTAGTTTAATACCAGGAACAACTCTTGAACAAGATAGCTGAAAAATAGGCAATCTAGAGTGGCTGCTGGTGAGATCCTCTATCAGTGATGAACCATATGAGAAAGACACACACACACACAAATTACTGAGATCTTTGCACCAGAAGTTGGTTTTCTCATCCCATGGCTATTGCATCCTTGGGGCATTGACCCATCATGGTCCTCTGAGACTCTTAGTACCTTGTACAATAGGCTTCTACTCCAACTTTCCAGAACTTCCATATTACCAATTCGGATTCCCAATGTAAGTCCTTGCTTGGGCTCTTCTGCTTCAGCTGCTGTCACTGGTCTAGTCAGGTAGGGCCAGTGTTAGCATCATTAGTCTAGGAGCTTGGTCACCTAAAGCTGCCCTCTGAGCAGGGACTGTGGGCAGGGCAGGCACTATAAACATCACATTTAGGATCTAGTCTAATGTGATAAGGGGCCTACTCTATAAATGTGGGTAATATGCAAAACTGTATTTCCATTTCTGTATTACAGTGTATGCCTGTGTGTGTTCTAGGATTACAGAATTTGGATGGAGTTGCAACTAAAACACAGTTGATTTCATAGCACCAAATAGATTCTATGATAATGTTCCCACTCCGCCCCCCTCAAACACACACACAGTAAATGCTTGATGGGATTGACCATCTCCCTGGAAACTCTTTATGAGAAAATAATAGAATACTGTGACTGGAATCCTTATCAGTCTCGAGGATTTTTTTTTTTTTTTTGGCTTTTAGAGGTAAGAGACTCAGGTTATATAATAAAGAGCTTGTTTTTATTCAATGTTCTGTGGGTAATATGCCTGTGGGAGCAGCATCTTAGATTCGGTGTCAGTATCTGAGACAAAGTTTTAACAATATAAAGAAAACCTTGTGTGGTAAGCATACTCTGAAACCATTCATTGTATTCTTAAGCTATGTTCTTGCTTTATTAGTAATAGGCCTCAGATATTTTTCAAATATAAGATGCTACAGAACGTTAGCTCTTTGAGAAAGACTATGCCCATAGTTAGAAAGAGGATGAGGTAAACCTGGGGGAATACTTGAAAATATCAAGATGAAAAGGACTTGCATAGAGCGACCTCAACACCTGGCACACATGCTAGACATTTGAAAGAATAAAAGTACACTGAAAATATTAACTGTTTTTTGAGCAAATGTATACTTATTTCCAATTTGTATAAATGAGAGATATAACTTTATGCTTAGATTTATAAAATTGAAATTTGTACTTATGAAAGGACTCATTTTTATTGAGGACATTCATGCCTTTAATAAGTATAGTCTGCAGTATATGACCATGGGTTACAAAATGTGAAAGATTTAGGGATTTCCGCAAAATGATAAATCATTTATGTATTTAGAACTAAAACATCACCTTTATTATTGGCCCTTCACGGTAGAGTGTTGTCCCAACACAGAGCCTCTTACAAAGACACAACAATACACTGTGTAGTTCGTAGGAGAAACATTCTTTAAGCCATCATTCCAATGTAGAGCAGCAGATTTGACTGTGTAAACATGTGCGTGTGTATATTCACATGTGAATTCGAGGCAGATTTAAATACTCTGAGGCATTGTGAAGCGGCTTGTACATATAAAGAAAGATAGACACAAGTACACATATTTAATTAGCACTGCTTGATGGAGACTGTTCAAAGTCTCCCTGGGAGCAGAACGTTTGTTTGGAGCATTTCAAATATGGAGTGCTTCTGAGAAAATAAGGGTGGCTTATTTAAACCCTTTGAAGTTGAGAATGGACTTTTCTTTCCAGGATTTTACTCCCGCCAAGTGCAAAGAACAACAGCAGCATCACTTGTGCTTAGATAAGAGGTCTGCCTGTGTGGCTTCTAGAAAGAGTAGCAGATGTGCATAGCTTTACAGTGAGGAAGTTGCAACTGCAGTTTAGCCTTTGTGACTTCAACCTGTAGCCCCAGATAACCAGTGATTAATGGCCTGTTTGGGGTCCCTTCCTTCTCTCTGGCTCCAGATTTCCCCCGAGCCTGTTTTTAGACCGCGAATTCGGTTCTGCGGGTTCTGAGCGAGCTGGCGTACTATGTGGTGGGAGCACCGCACGGTCACGCAGCCCGCAGTTTTCTCGGACACGGACAGGCCTCGTAGGTACGATCGAGCCCGTGTGCCGCGTGGTTGGAGGGAGCCGGGCAGCGCGGGCAGCCCTCTTTCCCAGCGCGGCCGGCTGGCGGTGGGCAGCATCCTTCACCCTGCGCCAGCTCGTGTCTCCCGGCCGCTGCCTCCGTGCTCCGGGGCGGCCGCCGGCCCAGCCAATCAGACGCGCGGGTTCGCAGCGGGCGCCGGCCAATCCGCGGCCAGCGTTCGCTGGAAACGCGAAACCCTTAGGGGAAAAGCAATAACAAAAGCCTTTCACTGCAGACAAATGTTAAGTGTCTGTGCAGACTTTTCCTGTTTTTAATTTTATTACTGCAAGAATGGAGGGTTTGTTGTTTCTTTCATGTTTCCTTTCAAGCAATTTTAATTATACATTTGTGCTACATCAGGGACTCTGGAATGCAGTGATTCAGTCTATTGCATCTAAAGCTAAAATGCAGTAACCTTCTGGCAACACAGATATATTCCTGCACTGTAAATATAGCTGACATGCTAAAGAATTTTAAGCAGCTGCAAAGGTCTTTGACACCACACACAGTGCCCCAGAGAGCAGATGATGAGAAAACCAGCTCAGTCTTCCCCTTTGCCTCCTCTCCCACCCCCTCCCCTTTCCTGAAAGGATGTGCTCATAAAGAATCCTTTCCTTCAATTGTTCTGTCTTGTGCAAATTTTGACCAAATGCCTAATTACCATTGATTCTCGTTGCAATATGAAATTTTATACTCAATGGTTTAAAAACAAAGTCCTGAGGGAGTTACAGTGGAATCAGCTGTGATTTGAGGAAACGCTTGCTTTGCTCCATCCTAGCCTTTCGCCTGCTAGCCTATTGCTGCAATAGGCTGAATTTACACTGAGTAAATAATTCAGCTGTTGCCTAAGTAATAGCAACAGAGACCAAATGGGAAACAATTTAAAAATCTCCTTTTGAGACTTTGGAAAGAAATCTTTCCCCACTACTTGAGTCCAATCATTCAAGTGTTTTACCTGCTGTTAAAAGGTTCCCAAGGAAATGAGTCTTACCTTGTGAGGTTTCCCTTACCATAAAGGAGCTCGGAACAGGTTTTCTGTAAAATTCAAGATGGCAGTGGTAACGCAAGCGAGCAAACCAACCAGAAATAGATTTTGAGCATTGTCCTTTGGTGTTTCCACGAAATAATGAGGTTAGGTTCAGAAAAGAAAACAAAGACTCACTTAAATATTTTATTTCTTTATGCTAGTATTTCATGTGTATCTCAAAATCTAGGTCCTATTAAAACATGCTGTTAAAGGAATGATTTTAAAAATATATAGTGCCTGTCCTCTAGAGAAATAAAGAGGATGTTATATTTTGTTTCTCTGTGACATTTGGTGTACTAAGTGCACTTAAGTTTAGTAATTCACAGATGCAGTGCTAAATTAAATTGTCTGTCTGCAAAGCAGTTGGGAAAAGCAGAATGGCTTGCAGGAAACAAGTGTGTTGGTTTTGAGATTTCTTTTCTAATCCTCTGTGGCAAATGCTTACCAAAGTTGATTCTAAAGATAACCCCAAGAGCAAATCTATTGTGCACATTTATTTTCTTAAGAGGGCTATTTTAGGAGTCCTTAATATGAAACAAGACCAAACAGTGAAACAGATACCGCACCAAGACTGATTATTGTCTCACAGTCAAAGAGGAGAGGATTAGGAAGGAGAAATCATAGCTGGTTGACGGCTATCTGGACTCTTAGATAGTCGCCACTTTCCCCTCTATGCTTATTTTTATGCACCTGCATACTTTTTTTCTGAATAAAATCACCATCATTTTATATTGCTGAATGGAAAACAAAACCGATTCCTTTCAGTCATCTTCTAGTTTAAGCACTGGTAACTGGCTCTTAGTTTATGTTGGCTGCTTGCCAAGCGAAAGCAATTATGTGTAATAATAGAAAAATTAAGAGGTGAGTGTTGCTGTTTTACAGCAGGACATGGCAAAAACCATTTCCTTCTGTCAGCAGTATCTTGATTACACTCTCACACACAGTCTCACCCTTTTGTACCACATGCGCACGCGCACAAGTGCGTGCACGCGCAGGCGCGCGCGTGCACACACACACACACACACACACACACACACACACACACTATTTCCTGTGGGTTTTAACTTGAGGTCACTGAAACCAGAAAGAGGAAGAATGCAAACCACAGCTTTTGAAAGCAAATGAGAATAGAACTTTGCTGGTACAAAAAAAAAAAGGAATAATAAATGAACTGGAATAATCAATGCTAACCATGATTATTTTTCATTCTCACCCCCCCACACAGGTGTTCTAGTGGTCAATGTCACGTGGAGGAACAAAACTTACGTGGGCACCCTACTTGACTGCACCAAGCACGACTGGGCCCCTCCCAGGTATGAACAGACCCTTTTATTTCTCTCCTCCTTCCCCTATTCTCTGTTTGCAAGGAAACTATATAGAGAGAGATTAATAATACATAAAAGTCTGCCTGTAATTGAAACCAGGCAGAAGAGAAATGAGCAATTTAGGATTGAACACAGTAAAATGCAGATGCTGGATTTCTTTTCCATTGGGAGATCTCTATCCCTCACCTCTTCTCTGTGTCCTTTGTTTTCTTCTTTTCTCAGAATGGGAATTTGAACTGGATTGGAAGCTAGCTGGCTAAACTGTTTTCTTTAGTTTTCTGAGGAAGAATTTAAGCCCTTGGTAGCCTGTTCTCTTACAGTGTCAGACATTGTCAGTGGAAGGGTAGGATGTCTTTCCCTTGGCTGGGCCCGGCCCTTGAGCTACAGCAGTGTCAACTCCTCTTGGCTGCATTGTGTGCCTGGTGATCTCACCTGGCTCTTTTGGGAATGCTCATTTTGACGTCTGTTCCTTGCCTCCCTAGGTTTTGTGAGTCACCGACAAGCGACCTGGAGATGAGAGGGGGCCGAGGCCGAGGGAAGAGAGCGAGGTCTGCCGCAGCTGCCCCGGGCTCTGAGGCCAGCTTTACGGAGTCCAGAGGGCTGCAGAACAAGAACAGAGGGGGGGGCAATGGGAAAGGCAGGCGGGGCAGCCTCAATGCCAGCGGACGGAGGACACCCCCAAATTGCGCCGCCGAGGACATCAAAGCCAGCCCTTCCTCCACCAACAAAAGGAAAAACAAGCCTCCGATGGAGCTGGACCTGAACTCGAGCTCCGAGGACAATAAGCCTGGGAAGCGTGTCCGCACAAATTCCAGAAGCACTCCCACCACCCCTCAAGGGAAGCCAGAGACTACTTTTTTGGACCAAGGCTGCTCTTCTCCAGTGTTAATCGATTGTCCCCACCCCAACTGCAACAAAAAGTACAAGCACATTAACGGCCTGAGGTACCACCAGGCTCATGCACACTTAGACCCCGAAAACAAACTGGAGTTTGAACCTGACAGCGAGGACAAGATCTCAGACTGCGAGGAAGCCTTGAGTAATGTGGCACTTGAATGCAGTGAGCCAAGCACAAGTGTGTCAGCTTATGACCAGGTGAAGACACCGGTGTCCCCTGGCGCTGGGAATCCCCCTGGGACCCCCAAGGGAAAGCGAGAGCTGATGAGCAATGGCCCAGGTTCAATTATCGGTGCTAAAGCTGGGAAGAATTCTGGGAAAAAGAAAGGCCTTAACCACGAACTGAACAACCTTCCGGTCATCTCCAACATGACAGCCACATTAGACAGTTGCTCAGCAGCAGACGGCAGTTTGGCTGCCGAGATGCCTAAACTAGAAGCAGAAGGGTTAATTGACAAGAAAAATCTGGGAGATAAAGAAAAGGGCAAAAAAGCTAACAACTGCAAAATGGACAAAAACCTCTCTAAACTGAAAAGTGCCCGGCCCATCGCCCCTGCCCCAGCCCCCACTCCTCCACAACTCATCGCCATACCTACCGCAACCTTTACCACCACCACCACGGGGACGATACCCGGACTGCCCTCCCTCACGACAACTGTCGTTCAGGCCACACCAAAGAGTCCTCCACTGAAACCCATTCAACCAAAGCCCACAATTATGGGAGAGCCCATCACCGTGAACCCAGCTCTGGTGTCACTCAAAGACAAAAAGAAAAAGGAGAAGCGGAAGCTAAAGGACAAAGAAGGGAAAGAGACAGGAAGCCCGAAGATGGATGCCAAACTGGGGAAACTAGAGGACTCCAAGGGCGCCGGCAAAGATTTATCTGGGCATTTTTTAAAGGATCATCTCAACAAGAATGAAGGGCTGGCTAATGGACTGTCAGAGTCTCAGGAGAGCCGCATGGCCAGCATCAAAGCCGAGGCCGACAAGGTTTACACTTTCACAGACAACGCTCCCAGCCCTTCCATAGGGAGCGCCTCAAGGATGGAGTGCAGCACTTTGGTGAATGGGCAGGTGCCCATGGCCCCTCTGCACGTGTTGACTCAGAATGGGGCAGAGAGTTCCACAGCAAAGACGAGCAGCCCAGCCTATTCTGATATATCTGATGCTGCTGACGATGGTGGTTCTGACAGCAGGTCGGAGGGCATGAGGTCAAAGGCCAGTTCCCCATCAGATATCATTTCTAGTAAGGATGGTGTTGTAAAAGGGCATCCTTCAACCACAGCACAATCGTCTCAACTGAAAGAGTCCCTTTCTCCCTATTACCATGGCTACGATCCTTATTATTCTCCGAGTTACATACACCCTGGACAGGTTGGTGCCCCTGCAGCTGGGAACAGTGTGAGCACACAGGGACTGAAGATCAAGAAGGAGTCTGAGGAAGACGCCGAAAAGAAAGACAAGGCAGAGCAGTTAGATTCCAAGAAATTGGACCACAGTTCTGCATCCTTACAGCCTCAGCACCAATCAGTGATCACACAAAGACATCCTGCCCTGGCTCAGTCACTTTATTATGGCCAGTATGCCTATGGGCTCTATATGGACCAGAAGTCTCTGATGGCCACCAGCCCTGCCTATAGACAGCAATATGAGAAGTACTATGAGGACCAGAGGCTGGCAGAGCAGAAAATGGCCCAGGCTGGGAGAGGAGACTGTGAGAGGAAAAGTGAGCTCCCCTTGAAAGAGCTGGGCAAGGAGGACTCTAAACAGAAAAACATGCCATCGGCCACAATCTCAAAAGCTCCCTCTACTCCAGAGCCTAACAAAAACCATTCTAAACTAGGGCCATCAGTGCCTAATAAAACTGAGGAGACAGGTAAATCGCAGCTTCTCTCCAATCACCAGCAGCAGCTTCAGGCCGACAGCTTCAAAGCTAAGCAGATGGAAAACCACCAGCTTATTAAGGAGGCTGTAGAAATGAAATCTGTCATGGACTCTATGAAGCAGACAGGTGTAGACCCAACCTCGAGATTTAAACAAGTAAGATTGTGGAGCGTGGCCCCAACAGAGAGAGAGCAGTCTGAGACTTGTACATGTCTGGGCTTGGTCTGGTTAGACTTCTGAGGCAGGAAAGAAACCCCCATTAGGGCGTTTTCCTCTTCTCTTGAAAAAAATCTTAAGATTCTCAGGAGTTACTTTGGAGCGTGACCATTTTCTTGTCATGTTGTGTAGTAAAAGGCACTGCGGATATGCGCTTTGCAGACTTGTGTTCCATGCCACTAACTCACACAGTGATTCTGATGAGGTCCCTTAATTTCTTACTTAGACTAAGAGGAGAACATTCTGCCACAGGGCTGCAGAATGCCCTTCTAAGTCTGAGATTCTGAGTCTGATCTCTAAAATATTTGTTCGATTGTACTTCTAAATTTCCATTGGCATCTTCCTGGAAGATAATAAGAACTGGGTCCCTAAATTCACATTTCCCATTCATCCTTTTAATAGAACTTCACCCAGAGGTCTTTCACACAGAGTGAGATGCCTCGATTTCGCTTTTACAGTCTGTGTTAAGCACCCCACAGCAGAGCTCAGTGCCGAGCTTCTGTGAGGAGGTTTGGGTTACGGGCCTCAGCAGCTCTTCCACAGCCCTGAGGTCAGCCCACCTGAGAACACCTGAGAATTGGTCACCGTGAAGCCACACATGTGCTAGCACTTTCTGTCATGGTTTAGACATCCTGACTCACATTAATCCTGGTATTTCCCAGCACTACACACACCCACCCCATCCCAATGCTTAGATACTTCTGGGCACATCAGAGCGAGAATCCTTAGGCCTAACTTTGAATGTTCACTCAGGACTAGTATCCAGTGGGTTTATATTGTGAATGAGATGGGGCCACAGAGGCCATTAGGATTCTCAGTTCTCCCCATTGCAGAGACCTAAATCAGACTCTTGCTTCACGGGACTGCAATAGAACGACACAATTTTGGGGGATGCGGGGGGTGGGGTTATAGATGACTTTGTTTTCCAATAGAGAAGCCATAATGTGTGCTATTAATTTGAAACTTTGTTTTGATTAAGATGTTAGCACATAATGACAAGTAGGCCAATTTATTAAGCCACAGCTGTTGTCGATGAAGAAAATGTATCAGGAAACCAAGAGTTTTTCCTCATACGTGATGTTATTAGTTGTAGCAATTATTTAAATTTAGAATTATTAGCTTGAGTTTTTTATTCTTTTTACCTATGCAGGATTATAAAAGGAAAATGAAAGTTGGCTTAAATATGTCTGAGGATGTTATTTAGTGTTGAGAAATGACATTAGGGGCCCAGCTCTGAATTCCAGCCAACCTGAGTTTGATGCCCAGCTACACAACTGGGCAGCAGCACGACCTTGATGGTTGAACACTCAACATTTTGGTTTTGTCTTCTTTCCAAGGAATCAGTAATCACATCTACCCCAGACATTATTACTTTGTGAGAGAAAGAGATAAAACTTTAGCACAGTGCCTAGCACATAAGTAAAAGTTAACTTGGTATTAAAATTAATAGTAATGGTGCTGTCATGATGAAGAATATATTTTCTTAAAAATTGAAACTTTAAGACAAATGTTTTGTTGTTGTTTGTTTTTAAAAAAATCAGGATCCTGATTCAAGGACATGGCATCATTACGTATACCAGCCCAAATATCTGGATCAGCAAAAATCAGAAGAACTTGATAGAGAGAAGAAATTAAAAGAGGATAGTCCAAGGAAAACTCCTACTAAAGAGAGTGGTATGCCCAGCCTTCCTGTATCATTAACGAGTATTAAAGAGGAGCCCAAAGAGGCCAAGCGTCCTGATTCTCAGTCCATGGAGGAGAACAAGCTGAAAAACGATGACCGAAAGACTCCTGTGAACTGGAAGGACTCTCGGACAACGAGAGTGGCTGTCTCCTCACCCATGAGTCAGCATCAGTCATACATACAGTACTTGCATGCCTATCCGTACCCACAGATGTACGACCCCAGCCATCCTGCATACCGGGCTGTCTCTCCTGTCCTCATGCACAGTTATCCTGGTACGTGTTGTGGCTTCTAACAGTGTTGGACAGAAGAGGCTATGTTCAAATAATAACTGTTAAAAAATCAAGATAAATTAGTAGCTTCAAGTGTGGCATTTGTTTTGCTTGTTTCTAAGCAGCTTAAAATCCCAAAGATGAAACTGATTTAATGTAAGATTTTTTTTTTTAATGAAATGTCAAGAATCCTCAGCTATGGTTTCTGTAGTCTCTGATGGTCTGCTGTAGCTGTTAGACTGACAGTTACTTTATTGCCTGTGAAAATATTCCAAGCACTTACTGTCATAATCATTATAGTTACTATTTCTTTCACTTAGGCGGACACATAAATGTATGAAATGGCTGTAAGCTCAATTCTGTTTATAACCTCCGTTCATCAAGATGAATTAACTGGGAGAAGAAAATCGGAGAGCCTAGATACAGTTTTAACGATGATGTAGCCCATTCTTAACGTAACCCCCTATTTTAACATCTCCGACTCTTATCCCAAATTCATGTAACCCAAATGACTTTTTTTTAAAGATGTAGCCTGTAACTTGATGTGGCATTTGTTGTTTATCTGCAGGGGCCTATCTCTCTCCAGGATTTCATTATCCTGTTTATGGGAAGATGTCAGGGAGAGAAGAGACAGAGAAAGTCAATACCAGCCCTAGCATCAACACGAAAACAACCACTGAATCGAAAGCACTGGATTTGCTCCAGCAGCATGCCAACCAATACCGCAGCAAGTCTCCTGCTGTAAGCCTCCTTTTGTTGTTATTTAAAAGTACTGTGTTTGGGGGAGAGAAGGGAGCAAGCTAGAGAACAGTCTTGAAATATAAATGGTTTTGGAACCCAACTGTGATTTCAGGATGCCGTTTTATCCTAATATATAAAGAATGGATTGTTCAAAGGAAAGATGCTTTCACACATGAGGGAAAATTGTTAGAGCATGTATGTCAGTAGCAGCTTTTCTATTGCAAAAATCTAGTGTACTTTGCTTACCCAAGGGGGTGCTTGTTAGGTGGAAATTTAAATTCGTAGGAACCAACTTTTGGTGCAGAATATTTTTGATAAAACCTTTGAGAAAGTAGGTAACAGAGGACTCAATTTTATGGCATCCTTGTAAGTAAATACAAGGTCAATAAAAACTGTTGACCTTTTGGGCAAATTGAACTTTTTAAAGAATGTTTTCTTTTGGGACCGACTTTTAAAATCGGGGATTTGATATTCAAATTCACATGACTTTTTTCTCTTAAGATGATAGTAAATCCAGTTCAAAACCCCATGGCCATAATTGATGAGAGTATGTAGCCCATCTAGTCAGTGTGTCCTTTTCCTACCAATGTAAGCATGGACATGAATAGAACCTACCCAGCCTGCAGCACTCATCTTTGCTGTTAGCTTGACTTCCCTAGAGATTTGTGTTTCTCCTCCTTCTGTCAGCCCTCGGTAGTCACATGGTCAGTGTTCATAGTTGGGGGCCCATCACGAGCAAGGCTGAGTTCATTTTATTCAGGCACATATTTGAGTCTTGCACAGTGTGAGGATCATCTGCAAGAGTGAGTCACTTGGCTAAGGAGTGAGAGCTGCATCTGCTGCTTTTTGGCCTCTACTCATTGTCATGTCCTTATAACTCTGCTGAAGTAATACAGGTGTGTGTCTTTGTGAAAGATGACTCTCCCTCCAAAAGGCAACTGCTCTAGTCCTAGTGACTATTGTGAAGAGAGACTAATCAAAGGAAATGATGGTTCTTGGCTAGAAAGGAGAAGTTTAAAACGATTTAAAATGCAGTATCTGCAGTCGAATTGAGTCCACCAGAGACTCTAGAGAGACTAGAAATGGTGGTTTATGATTCTTTTTTGTGAGTCTTCCTTCTAGTACAAAGGTTTTTGTTTTGTTTTGTTTCCCATTTTTTCCCCTGTGACGAGATAAACAAGGAGACTCAAGGTTTATTTTTAAGTGAGAAAGAAAACTTTAATGAAGGGTGGTTAGGTTCTAAAAGGTAGAAATGCATTGGAAACCAGCATACAAGTTTACCCAAATTATGATTCGAGAAAACAAGTCTTCCCTATGAGCGTTCAGTAATTGAGAGATTCAGAATGTGATCACAGGGCATCAGTTTCCTGCGTTATATATTGGCTGGCATATAATATTGGGATGTGTATTTTCAACAGAACAAAATAAGTACAGATATACTTAAAATTATGAGATAGGTTCTTCCTATAAAATATAAATGAAACAGAAATGTAATTTGAAAGCTAGACCTTTTAAAAAACCCTCTAGAGCGACGACTTTTCCTTGACCCGTATATAAAAATGATTTCTGGGAAGATATCAGGTGGATTCTAAACCTGCAATTATGAGTGGACAGAGAGAGGAGTCCTCTTACTGAAGTCATTTGAGGAAAACAGTGGTAGCGCTTGGTTTATTTTGGGTGGAGCAGTTCTTTAGTGTTGGCTTAAGTTCAGCTGATACTGATGCATGTCTTTTGAAATTATCTTCAGTTAATAAAGAGTTGTAAATATCTTTATATCTACTTTTTAATTATTAAAATGAGACTGCCATAGGGACAAAGGTTGTTTACTACTCCTTCAGGTTGTTTTGGGGAGCATTAAGCAGGGAGCATTTCTCTTTTATGTTGCAGCCTGTGGAAAAAGCTACAGCTGAGCGCGAACGCGAGGCAGAAAGGGAAAGGGACCGTCACTCACCCTTCGGCCAGCGGCACCTACACACGCATCACCACACCCATGTTGGCATGGGTTACCCTCTAATCCCAGGTCAATATGACCCTTTTCAAGGTCAGTGACTCTATCATCATGTGACTTTGTCCATTCTACTTTGGAAAAGAGTTGGCAAAACTGCATTTTACATCGTTAAATACAAATATCGAGCTTTGGGGTAACATGAGCTCTCGGGAGGGTTTTTTTGTGTTTTTTTTTTTTTGAGTTGGAGTCTCACTCTGTCACCCAGACTGGAGTGCAGTGGCACGCTTCCAGCCACTACAGCCTCAACCTCCTGGGCTCCGGCGATCCTTCCGCCTCAGCCTTCCATGTAGCTGGAACTACAGGCATGCGCTACCATGCCCGGTTAATTTTTGACTTATTGTAGAAATGAGGTCTCACCAAGTTGCCCAGGCAGGTCTCGAACCCGCAGGCTCAGGCAATCCACTCACTTCAGCCTCCCAAAGCGCTGGAATTACAGGCTGAACCACCGAGTCCAGCTTCGGGAGGGTTTTTAACACTGATTTCCTAGTATTTCCTAGTGACTCAATAAGGCTATTCCCACATCTTTGTATTCTATTGAGACATGAAATGGCCGCCACTTAATAATTGTCACTAGTTGATGTTATCCGTGGCTTACTGTTATCTCACAGGCTGAGGGCGGTGGCCAGTGTCTGGGGCACTGAATATAACACTCAGAAGATCAGATATCTATTTCAGGGAAACAGGAGAAAAAAGGAAGGGGATGGTGGAGGCTTTGGTGAAATTACTTGTTCTGATTTCTGCAGGCCTTTTAAGTTGGTCTTTTCCCATGGAAGTAATAGGAATAACATGATCAGGTTTAACACTTTTTGTAACTTAATTCCAGGGCTGTTCACTGTTCTTCAGTGCTATGACTCATTCACTAAAGATGAAGGTTGAGAAAGAGAAACATTTTATAAAACTTACAGAATAGATATGAGGGAGTTTACTGACTCTGCATGTATGATCTGTCCCATCTCATAATAATAGGGGCTGGGTGGTAGCACATCTTTACCACTTGCTAGGATCTTGCTGTCTTAGCTTGGGCTGACCCATAACAAAATACCGCAGGTTACATGGCTTTAAGTAATAGAAATTTATTTTCACACAGTTTTGGAGTCCAAGAATTTGAGATCAGGGTGCCAGCAGGACGAGTCCCTGCTGAGGCCTCTCTTCCTGGTTTGTAGATGGCAATCATCTTGCTGTGTTCTCATATGATCTCTTCTTTGTACGGACTGGTGGGTGGGTGTGAGGCTAGGGAAGCTCTGGTTATCTCATCTTTTTTTTTTTTGAGTCAGAGTCTCACTCTGTTAGCCCAGACTGGAGTGCAGTAGCACGCTTATGGCCACCGCAGCCTCAACTTGCTAGGCTCAGGCGATCCTTCCGCTTCAGCCTTCCAAGTAGCTGGAACCACAGACATGTGCTACCACGGCTGGCTAATTTTTTGATTTATTGTGGAAACGAGGTCTCGCCATGTTGCTCAGGTTGGTCTCGAACCCCTGAGCTCAGGCAATCCTCTCACCTCCACCTCCCAAAGTGCTGGGATTATAGGTTTGAGCCAACATGCTCGGCTTCTATTCTTATGAGAACACTAATGTTACCATCTTACAGCCTCCCCTATATACCTCTTATAACCATAACTACCTCCTTAGAGACTCTATCTCCAAATATTATACAATCACATTATGGGTTAGGGTTTCAACATGTTTTGGGGAGACACAAATTTAGTTCATAGCACTTGCCAAGCTGCCTCTTACTTGCTGTTGTGTAGCTATAAAGTAAGATAGTATGTTTGAAGGTATTTCCAAAAGTGGGAAGTGATTTGTAAATGTGAAGGGGTCATTTTTTTTTTTTTTGAGTTGGAGTCTCACTCTGTTGCCCAGGCAGGAGTGCAGTGGCACGCTCATGGCCACCACAGCCTCGACCTGCTGGGCTCAGGTGATCCTTCCCCTCAGCCTTCCAAGTAGCCGGAGTCACAGGTGTGTGCCACCACATCCGGCTAATTTTTTGGTTTACTGTAGAGATGAGGTCTCACCGAGTTGCCCAGGCTTTTCTTGAACTCATGGGCTCAGGCAATCCTCTCACCTTGGCCTCCCAAAGTGCTGGGATTATAGGAGTGAGCTACTATGCCTGACCATAACGGGTCATTTTTATTTATTCAACTCTTGTTATTTAGTGTTAGTTCATGGTGTTCAAAAGGAGCATCTCCGTTTCTTAAACAACTTGTATTAAGTGTGAGAAGAACTTGGAAGAGAGTTTTTTTCCTAACACCTTACATCTGTACGTAAATGAAGTGTATATATGAGCAGAAAATCTTGTCACTTTTAAGATATTATTATTATTATTTTATTGTAATGTTTTAAGTCACCTCTGGGAAACTTATCTAATATAGTCAAATAAAGGACATAGAATGAGAGAGTAATCTTCCCTAGTTTGCATGTATTTACTCTATTTTCCCCCAGGACTGTTTTCTGTCGAATTTAAGAGAGTTCTCTTTAGGCAACTTCATGACATTTAGAGCTATTACAGTCTCTGACTGCTACCTTTGTCTCGCAGGGTAAAAGTTAAGGCTATTTCTAAGTTTGAATCATGGATTCCATGTACCTTATGGGATGCATTGTGTTCAATCACTGGAGAAAATGTTAAACTGATAAAAATTATGATGAAAGTATTGTATTCTAAGCAAATAGCATACAGCTTCTATAATGCATTGTGACTTTTGATTCCTGTTGTTACCTGGTACCTATTATTTCTCCTGAGCTTCCTATTCAGAAATGCATGCAAATCATTTAGCACCACGCAGAGTCAGAGAGATGGAATGCTATATCTTCTTTGAATAGCTATTAAGAAAACAGCAGAGTATTCAATAAAGGGATAGATACTGGATAGACCAAGCAGTTTGTACTTTGTCCTTACCTCTTGCAATGTTTCAGATGTGTGTTAAGGAACATCGTTGTTACCGGGTCTGTGGCCCTTCACCCCTGGACCTGTCTGTACTCTTATCTTTCTAAAGGTCACACGAACTCTACATTTTTCCCCCATTAGGCTTGACCTCTGCTGCCCTCGTTGCCTCTCAGCAGGTGGCTGCCCAGGCATCTGCATCTGGAATGTTTCCTGCACAAAGAAGGTAAATATCCTCTACATTTTGAATTACTTGTCTAGATAGAGACATCTTAATGGTTGGAAGGGAGCAAGTACAGGTTTTTTAAACCAAAAACTTAGCTCCTTGGGCTTTATGTCATTGTAATGAATCTGCTTATTCACATGTGACTTGTATTCCGTGAACCTCATTCTAGAAATGTAATGTGGATTAGTAATTCACCCATTAGTTGTTTTTTTTTTTGCGTTGGAGTCTCACTCTGTCGCCCAGACTGGAGTGCAGCGGCCGCTCCCGGCCACCGCAGCCTCGTGCTGGGCTCTGGCGATCCTTCTGCCTCAGCCTTCTAAGTAGCTGGAACTACAGGCATGCGCTACCACACCCGGCTAATTTTTGATTTATTGTAGAGATGAGGTCTTACTAAGTTGCCCAGGCGGGTCTTAAACCCGCGGGCGCAGACAATCCACTCATCTCAGCCTCCCAAAGGCGCGGGATTACAGCCTGAGCCACCGAGCCCGGCTTAGTTTTTTAGACAGTTGAAATTTTCTTGTGTTAGCCTCACAGCTTTGCTAAAATCATTCACCACGACTCTCTTTGTTTTATTATGTTTAAAGATAAAGTAGCAAATGGAGATTTATTTTCATAATGCAAAAGGTAATGTTCTTTGATATTTTATATTATTCCTTATAACTTAGGAAAATAACTTAAAGGGATTAAATTATCAATATTTTTCACAGTGTGTATCATTACCATTCACTTTCTCTGGAATTGAATGCCACAAATTGAATGGATTTAAAATAAAGGCCTGTTAATCATATGGTTTTCGGGTTTGCTGTGTCAAATGTTGCTAGAACCCTGTGCTAAGGTTTGCTTTTCTTTTACAGAGAATAACAAGATTGGAAATGTACGTTGTCATGTGACTGGATCACATGGGGAAGCGCTTTATACAGACATCAGTTCCATGGTGTTAATTTGAAATGCCTTAATGGCAGGCAAAAACCAGTCATTTCATTTTTGTAAATTACAGATTTTATCACAGAGTAACAAATGTTGCTGTAATTAAACTTCTGTTTTATATATATATACGTATACATATCTGTATATATACATATATATATATATACATATATATATATTCTTTACTTTTTGTATCAGTAACCAGGCTCGCACACACAGGGTCTGCTGCCACGTCGCAAACCACTCAGTAAAGGAAATTTAAAAATGTATTTGTCATGTTGAAAAGTGTTAGCCACAGAAGGCTGCTTACTTCCTTTTTCTTTTCCTTTTCAATTGTAAATAAATAATGTTATGTATCAGTGTGCCTGAACCTTGCATATCCTTCACATATTTCCCGAAAGCCCCTCAGAAAGGCTAACTGTGATGATGACACTTTGGTACAATTTAGATGTCTATTTGGTGGCTCCTGTAAAAGACGCATCAGTGTAAAATGTTCCTGTAGTCACTGTTTGTACTTGTGTATTGTGGAAAAAAATACTTTTGGAAGGCATGGGGTTGCCAGTACCACAAAAACTGTGTTGTATATAATGTAAAGATTTAAATGGGGAAATAATGAGCATCTGTGAATAATGAGGTGTCATTTTTTGATAATCTTGAATGGCAAATAACCCAATAGCCTGCGTACCAGAGACATCTGTGATTGTTCTATTACTTGAATAGTCCTGCAGTCTTTTTTTTTTTTTTTTATGTTTACAATTATCCAGTTTTAGAAGAGAGAGACTTTAACGCCATTGCCTGGTTACTTGTTTTATGCTGTAATCTAGTTTATTTTATGTAAAATGTATATTGAATGCTTTCCTTTTTTATACCTGCCTTAAATAATTTGGCAATCAGAATTAAAAAGGTTTTTTTTTTTTTATAATGGCTTCTTGTCTGTCTCAGTTATTTCTAGCCGGCTAGTAGTGGTACTGATTTTCAAAGAAGGTGTCTTAACATTATGAATGCCCAATACATAAGATACAGCACACGGATATTAACTTTTCTTACATGTTACACAGGTATAGCACCAAATCATGTATTTGACTCAGAAAGTGTATCTACATCTACAGGGTGTTTACTCCAAATGTGGAACATGTTATTACTACAAATTGGTAGATAAGGGTTTCTCTGTGTAATGGAATGATACTCCGAAGCTGTAAGTCCTGTGATGTGTAGATAGTAGATAAAATATGTAAAAACTCAGCTAGCTATCATTAAATTGATTTGCTAGAATATTTTATGCCAGATTTTAACTGCTTCCCCCCTACTCCCTCTCTTCCTTTTTGAATAAATACTTCTCGAGCCCCTGCTTTATCCCCGGCACTGTACAGGGTGCTGGGATATAGCAACAAGCAAAGCAGACAAAAATTCCTGTCCTCATAGAGCTTACATTTGTTAGTAGGTGGCATAAGCATTTGATAAAATATCTAAGTATTATGCAGAATATGTTAGATGGCTGATAAGTGCCATGAAGAGAAATGGAACATGGGAGAAGGCATGGTGAAGATGTGTGGGAGGGTGCAAAAACCCCAAATTGGGAGTGTGTGGCATGTGTTTGGACTGGTTGATTTCAGTGATTCATTCCAGCTGTATGTTTTCAGATTTTATTATAATTGCTAATGACAGTTCTACCACTTGGTTTACTAAATGTTCTTTAAGTTGACAATTTGTCGTGGTATAATTTGGTTAGTTCTACCTACCTAGAGGCCTTTGCTTCACAAATGAATAGGTTTTTTGCAATCAAAAAGAAATGTTTCCTTTGCTTTTGAAAGACCACCTTGAAGTGTTGCCTTGCTGCTTGCCTCATAATTCTAAGTCCCTGTTCTTAATAGATTTAAATAGGAAGGTATTTTCCCCCCAATTTTCAGTAAATTTTGCTTTTGAATTTCATTCAGGATGTCATTTACAAAAGCATCATTTATGGTGTCTTTTCTTGAACACAAGAATATTTCACGCATATGTCATCATTTTCTAAGCTATTAAATTTTTAAAATTCTTACACTACATCTAGATTATCCTTGAAGACTTGATGCGATTGGTCTTATGCTAGTTAAAGAAGTATATTTCCTCTGTTCTGAATATGGTGTGCAGTGTGTCTGTTGGTTGCCTCCATACTAATCCAGTTCTTGGCCAAACACTTAACATCTAATACAGGAGCAGAACTAAGGTCAACTTACTTCTTGACCAGCTGAATTATCATGTTCCTGTGGTAATTAGGTGATATTGCAGATTCCTGATGACTTTCTTGCTTTTAGCAGTACCTATTTTAAAAATCATACATGTGGAATCTTCCAGCTGCAAAATGACTGGGTGTATGTGTATTACATAGCAGGCTTTTAATCACTTCCAGTTAGGTGGTTAAATAAATAGGGCTCTAAATAAGTGCATTAGACCATGCTTAGCTCTGCTACTGTAATAAACAGGAATGCTGATAAACATAAAGAGATATATGGCCAAAAGCACATTGCGATTTGAATCGCTTCTCCCCGCAGGCTTTTACTGGAACATTATTCATGGCTGGTTTACATTAATCACTAAATGAAGTTTTGTTTCTTCCCCTTATTGTTACAGGGTTGTGTTTACCGATGACAACATGAATTGCCAAAGGCCAGCGCTTATTTATATTATGTGTGCCATTTCTCTGTCTGAGTATATAGTCAGCACTGAGTGGTAAATTAAAGATTCCCAAAAGACAAGCGTACTTGGCTCCATTATATTACTATGATGAATCTGCCTTTAATACGTTCTAATTGTTTTACTTTTATAGACATAAAATCAGTCCCCTTAGTGACTAATAATAGGGTTTATTGATTTTACTAAACATTATTCATTCTAGGCCCGCTCATATCAGCTTGTCCTGAACATATGCAAAAAGCCTACAGTGCTGACACAGTGCAAATTAACTTTATGGAGAGATGGGAGTGAAGAGTTGTTTACAGCTGTGGTCCCACTGAACACAGAATATTAAAAACAAGGTAATAGGCTCTGTATAGAACCATTTATTCCGAGATTAGGATCTCAGATGGCTTTTTCATGGAAACTTGCCATTGATGTTCAGCCCAGGTCTTTAACACTCACAGAGTAAAATGGCTGGCCTTATATGTTCATACTGGCTGTGACCCTGATTTAGTGTGGTTTCAGTCCAAGGGTCTGTGAGTAACCAGAATGAATAGCTCTGATTGATACAGGATAAAACAGCAGTTTAAATGATAATTACTGGTCATTTCATTCCTTCCCTGACTCTGAAAAAGAGACAAGACAGGCAAAATCATTTATTATTGTTTTTGTCACTAACCACAGCCATCCATTCCCTGCTTCCTGCAGTAGTCTGAGTCATAAATGCTGTTTACTTTCAGTTAACTTTAGGAGAGAAAACAAAGCGAAGCCCCCAGTCTATTAGCTGCACCTCCGCCACAGATTCTTTTTTATCTTTCTTAACAAAATCACTCTTTAAAACAAGGGATTGGCTCTCACCCTATTGACATTTTGGACCCAATAACTGTTATGGGGGAACTATCCTGTGCACTTGACCTCTATTCCAGATGCCAGTTGCAACTGCCCCACAAGTTGAGATGATAACCAGCTGGTCATACGAAACTCAGAACTCCTGCCTAGCCCAAACCTACAGGTAGACTGCTGAGTTTTTGTCCTTTGTGGCTTTTGGAGTTACAAAGACCATCGGTGGTTCTTGTAACCCCATGAAAATATAATGGGGATGTTCATTGGACCAATATGGTTGAAGTTGGATCAGATTTCCAGCTTTTCTCTTTTGAGTTGGAGTCTCACTCTGTTGCCCAAGAGGGAGTGCAGTGGCACACTTACGGCCACCTCAGCGTCAACCTGCTGGGCTCCAGCCATCCCTCTGCCTCAGTCTTCCAAGTAGCCAGAACTAGAGGCCCATGCTACCACGCCCAGCTAATTTTTTATTTGTTGTAGAGACGAGTTTGCCCGGGCTGGTCTCGAACCCGCGGGCTCAGGCAATCCACTCGCCTTGGCATCCCAAAGTACTGGGATTACAGGCTGAGCCACTGAGCCCAGCCAAATTGCCAGCTTTTTAAAGAGAATTGAATGCTCCAGATTTTAGCATAACAATTAGCAATTTTTATAGGTTAAAGATGAATTCAGTTTAAAAACCACATCTGAGGGCAGAATTCAACTCACAGCACATCAATGAGCAGCACTAGCCCTCCAAAATACATATTATTTTCCTCTGGAACGAAAGCTGTTATATTGGAAAAACTGGGAAAATTGAGAATTTTTTTTTTCTATTTAGATTTTTATAAATTTTTTTTATTTTGAAGATGTGGGGTACAACTCAGGGTTAGGTATACAGATGTTCATTAGGCATGTATTCTTGTTGATGAGGTGTGCTACCCCCTTTCTTGGCAGTTTCCCACAACTGCCAAAAAATGAATAATTCTTTTTTTTGGCGAGGGGGCGGGTTGGAGTCTCACTCTGTCACCTAGACTGGAGTGCAGTGACCACTCCCTGCCACTGCAGCCTCAACCTGCTGGGCTCCGGTGATCCTTCCGCCTCAGCCTTCCAAGTATCTGGAACTACAGGCACGTGCTGTAGTTACCACACCCGGTTAATTTTTTATTTATTGTAAAGATGAGGTCTCGTCAAGTTGCCCAGGTGGGTCTCAAACCCACAGGCTCAGGCAATCCTCTCACCTCGGCCTCCCAAAGTGCTGGAATTACAGGCTGAGCCACCGAGTCCGGCCAAAATGGATAAGTCTTAAGCGAGCTGTCAGGATTGAAGTCAGATTTCCTTCCCACGATGAGAGTCATCTGTTTCATATATGGGAATAAAATCTGAGAGATTCTCAGATTCCCGTTTCAATTATCTTTTTTTTCACCTTGATATTTGAAAATAAAATGAAACACGCCAAAATCTGAGATACGAAGAAAAGAAAGGTGTCCAGGGCCATCATGCACACAAGGCATGGGAATGCCCCTGGGTGTCTGTAGGTTCAAGGGCCAGGCTTAGGTTTGATCGGGCTGGCCTGATTCATACCCGGATGTTGTCATGCTCCTCTCCATCTGAAAGGGCAAGTAATGCTGTGGGACAAAGCTTCTTGTCTGAGTCTGTAACAGGCGTGGTGGATCATGGCAGTACCCTCTCCAGCTGAGTGTAGGTGAGACCTCACAACCTCCTCAGCAGAGCTCCCTGAAGCCCCTGAAAGTAGATCAAAGTTGACATGCAAGGTGAAGGGTGTTGTAAGTAACTGAATTCTTGAGGAGCTAAATCATGACCCTATTACTTTCAAGGTCATCGCACCTCCTAACACGCTCATTTTTAGGCCAGGAGACTTAATATGGTGCTATACTTCCTTCCAACTCTTGGAAAAATTTGAAGTTATTTACCTTCAGTGTGTTGACGCAACTGTTATTTCTTTAGTCAGAAGTGTTAGGGAACCCGAATCATTACTTATTGAACCATCTTTCTATTGATTACTGCAGGTGTTTTCTTTTTCTTCTTTACACTGTCAATCCATCTCCTTTGACTGTCCTGCCGCCCTTGTATAAGGATCCTTGATTAGATTGGGTCCATCCAGATAATCCAGGATAATCTCCCCATCTCAAGGTCACCTGATTAGCAATCCTAGTTCCATTTGCAATCTTAATTCCCCTTTGTCAAGTGACAGAACATATTCACAGATTCTGAGGATTAGGACATGGATATCTTTGGGAACAACCACTACTCAGCCTATCACACCACCCAACACAAATTCTGCCAGGGCAGTATAAACACAATAGTATAATAATACTATTATATAAAATATCGTAACCGGTATAATGATCATTTTAATATGTATAGTATTTACTATGCACAAGATGCTTTTCTAAGCACTTCGAATATAACAACTTTGTATATAAAATGGT